ACGAACTCGCTTTAATGCTCATAGGTCAGACATCAAATTAAAGAAAGACAAGCCTGTTTCTAATCATTTCACCTCGACGACCATTCAATAGACGATCTCACCCTAATCCCAATTGAGCGTATAGAAATTGACTTGCCCGAAGATGAAACTACCAAATTCCGTCAATCTAGGGAGGCCCATTGGATTGAGACATTGAATACAGCAAGACCTATAGGACTAAATATTCATCATAATATAGGCATAGCACCCTTTGTTGTCCCGTTTAATACAACCAGCAATCGAGCAAGCAAGATAGTTCATGCCCACTATAAGAGCCTTCAAGAGAAATTCCCCCATGTCTATAAGCAGAAAATGATAGTTGCATATTCAAAAAATAAGAACTTAAATGATAATATTGTTCATAGTAAACTAAAAACAATCAGTACATAACAGATACTATACTTCTCGCCCATCGGGCGAGTTATTTTTTCTAATTTCAGATCAGAATAAGAACAGAAGAAAACCCAATATCAAGACCCTTAATCCTAATTTCTAAATAAAGTGTCTGCTCCACCCTAGGCCTGTACATTTGGGAGAATGAAACCCTCCCTTCCCCGAAAATTAAATTCAATTCTAAAGATGAATTAATTTTGAATAAGATAACTGAGAAATTAAATATGTTTAAACATGATTTTGATATAAAATTAAATAATGAAATTACAGAGTTGCATAAAATGATAAATAAAACTTTAAATGCTGGGAACTCTTCTAATACCAATTCTTCTTCTAATTTAACCCTCAGTGATAACGATAACATTACAAATTCTGCAATAGATCAAAATGAAATTACCATTATTCCCAAATACATAGTAGACGTCATAGAGTTACAATTAAACCTCAGCAATACAATGGAGAGGAAGATTTTGACGAATATATTACTCAATTTAATATCATTGCTGATCTAAATAATTGGACCAATAATGAAAAAGCATTATATTTGGCAAGCTCCTTATCAGGAAATGCAAGAATAATTTTAATGGAGATGAGCCAAACTGACAGACAAAATTTTGAGAATTTAGTTAAAACTTTAAATTTTAGATTTGGTTCAATTGAAAGGTCTGACATGTTCAGAGCTAAATTGCAAAGTAAAGTTAAAGGGAAATCCGAGTCACTTTCGGAACTCGCAATGTCTATCAGAAAACTTACCAGGCAATCATATCCAACAGCCAATACTTCTTTAAATAGAAGAATGGAATCCCAAGATGTTAATCATCATAATTTAGGTTCTGAAAGACATTTGCAATCCACTTCTCATAATTTTGTAAATACTCAAGAAAATACTAATAATTCGGGAAACATGTAATTGCTGATTTCGAGGGTCAGAATTCAGCAAGCTTTATAGACAGACCCAAAATTATAGCAATTAGTAACATAGGTAATAATAATCGTGGCTTGTTCACAAATGGGAAAATTAATGAGACAAATGTTGAATTTTTATTAGACACTGGTGCTTCAGTATCTATAATAAGTATGCCCTTGTTTAAAACTTTACAACAGGATAACAAATTCCAAATGGAACCCAATGATAACTTACATTTAGTAACTGCAACAGGTGAGAAACGTCCATTTGTTGGTAGTTGTACTGTCAATATAACGGTTGGATCATTTAATTTTAAACACCAGTTCTTAATAGCTGAAATAACACAAAGAGTAATATTAGGGATGGACTTTTTAAGTAAAAATTCAATCAATTTTTTGTTAGAAAATAAATGTATGAGCATTAAAGGAGAAAAAGTACCAATCTATTCTTTCCAAGAGGGACAGAATAAAGAGTGTAGTAGAGTATCTATTGCTGAAGATACCATTATTCCTGCACTCTCTGAGACCATTATATTAGGAAACGTAATAGATCCCATTCCAAATACAAATACAGTATATGTTGAACCAAGTGACAAATTCACAGAAAAGTATGAAGCATTGGTGGCTAAAACATTAGTTAATCCTAGTAAGGGAATAATTCCATTAAGAATTTTAAACGTTAATGATACTGATCTAAAGCTTTACAAGAATTCTGTGGTCGCCAACATTGAGACTGTTCATGACGAGGAATTAATAGAAGGTCATGTAGATGCTGTGCATGTTAACGAAGTGAACATGTAAAAACATTGTAAGGATTCCCTTCCAGACCATTTAGAACTTTTAAATAAGGAGGCATCCTCAGATTTGTCAGCACATGAACAAAATGAACTAAAAAATCTACTTATCAATTTTCAAGATGTTTTTTTGAAAACTCTAGATGACTTGGGCATGACACATATAGTTCAACATAAAAGGTGCAAGGCCAATAAAACAAGCTCCCAGACGAATTCCACTAGCTCTAGCAAAAGAAGCAGAAAAGGAAATATCTGAAATGGCAACAAAAGGTATTATCGAGCCTTCTGAAAGCCCTTGGTGCAATCCTGTAGTCATACTGCGAAAAAAACATAATAATGCCTTAAGAATATGCATTGATTATAGAACGTTGAACTATTATACATTAAAAGATTCTCATCCATTACCTCAAATTCCCCAGATATTAGATGCAATTGGAGATTCATCTCTATATTCGACAATAGATTTAACCAGTGGCTTTTACCAAATAGCTCGGTGGCTAGAGTTCCTAGCAACCCCCCATTTTAAAATCGAATATCGAGCAGGAAAATCTCATACTAATGCTGACACATTATCACGGAGACCTTGCTTTGATAAAGACTGTCGTCATTGCATGAGAGCTGAAGAGAAATACAGCAAAGATTCGTGTTCTGAAACTTTAGAAGCTGAAAATCTTGAAAACTTGCAAAAATCAAAACAAGTCGATCTTTAAATTGAAACCGTAAATATTGATACTATCCAATTAAATGAAACTGAGCTACAAAATAATAACATAATTGAATTGCAAAATGAAGATAAAGACATAAAAGAAGTACTTACCTGGTTAAAGAAAGGTAAAAGGCCAGATTGGCAAGATATTTCCAAATTATATGGTGATATCAAATATTATTGGCCAAGATATAATACCTTGAGTTTACAACAAGGTATATTGTGTAACTCATGGGAGACAGATACTGGTCAATTAACATATAATTATACTCCCACAATGTTTAAAATTTATTGTGTTTCAACAGCTTCATAATAATATAACTGGAGCACACTTAGGGTATAAATAGACTTTGTCAAAAATTAGAATGCGCTATTTATGGCCAAGAATGGGGATTGGCATAAAACATTGGTGTAAAAATTGTGACCAATGTGCTTCCAGAAAACCTCCTTATAAACATCCAAAAGCCCCATTAAAAATTTACCAAGTTGGAGAACCAATGGAAAGATGGGCTCTCGATATAGTGGGTCCTCTCCCTTTAACAGAGAGAGGAAATTCATTCATTCTTGTAGTTGGTGACTATTTTACCAAATGGGTACAAGCTATACCTATAAAAGATCAAAAGCTACAACTATTGCTGAAAAACTAATAAATGATGTTGTTAGCATTTTTGGCGTACCCATGGAGTTACAATCTGATCAGGGGTCTAATTTTGAATCTGATGTTTTCTCTGAAATGTGCAAATTATTGCAAATTGTTAAAACTAGGACAAGTCCATTTAGACAACAATCAGATGGTATGATAGAAAGAAACAATAGAACCATAAAAGATATGTTATCGACTTATGCCTCTAAGGATAAGCGAGATTGGGATCAAAATATAAATTTATTAATGTTAGCCTACCGTTCTGCAGACCCTTAATCCTAATTTCTAAATAAAGTGTCTGCTCCACCCTAGGCCTGTACATTTGGGAGATCAAACCCTCCCTTCCCCGAAATCTAATACTGTCCGTGCCAGGCCAGATCAGACAATTTATTTTGACTTTGGTATATTTTATTTCATGTTATATATATTTATATATATTTTTTTGTATACATTGTATATGTTAGGATTTTGACATTTGTTTCTCGTGCATATAACAAACTTTCTTCAACAAAATTTGCATTAATCTTTTAATCTTACCAAGTAAATTTAATTGCCATTATTTATGTTTTTCTTTCGTGTAAATTATACTCCGAGATAATCCATCCATTTAAATTACTACTCAGGTATAATCAAAATTCAAAGTTAGTTCTAATCAATTTATAATTCACTAATCCCGATTATTTTATCAAATATTTCTCATGTTTATTTATTTATTTATTTGTATTCTTGATTTCTGTTTATTTATGTTTTTCATTTATGTAAATTGTACTCTGAGATAATCTAATCCTCCTGAATAATTACTCAGATATAATCAAAATCTAATCCAATATTTCTATAATCTTCCATTGATCAAAGATATGACCCAACTAATTAAGAAATCAAAAATAATCCTAATCCTCAACTGATCAAAGATATGGCATGATTCACTCAATAATTTTTAGAAAATCAAAAACCTCTATTAACTGACTACTATATAAATCGCAAATTCAACCTCATTACATAACCATTCCTCGACACTTGAAAAAGGATAATATTTCGAAAACCGGTTCGTGTCAATTGCGTATGTTTTTGTTTTACTTGTTATAATTTTTCACAACATTGTTAGCGTTATTTATCACCTAAATATATTTTTTTTGCATTTTTCATCATAACTTTCATCTTACTTTATATATCCCCAAACCCAGTTTGACTTATTTTCATAATTTGATCCCCACATTTTCACGTTAGCATATACAGTTTCCTCCTGTTACATCCGCTGTAAATTCCCTTTCTAACCTCAAGTTATTTTCATTATGCTCCCCAACTACAACAACCCACTGGCCAGACATAGAAACACTAATCATCAACCAAACTAATATCACGTACCCTACAACGGCCCTGTCTTCCATCGACCTCTACCACCTACCAATCACCGACCACCAAGCAACCCATCCAGCTATATCCCACCCCATCGCCGACCCACCCACAGCCCCTACCAATCAAGAGGTAACCATCGACCTGACCAACAACAGAAACGACTATGTATATATTGTGTATGTTAGGGTTTTGACACTTGTTTCTCGTGCATATAACAAACTTTCGCTACCAAAATTTGCATTAATCTAATGAATCTAATTTCCATTATTTATGTTTTTCTTTCGTGTAAATTAGATTAGATAATCTAATCCATCCTTTTAAATTAATACTCGGGTATAATCAAAATTCAAAGTTAGTTCTAATCCATCAACCAACCCATCCAGCTATATCCCACCTCATCGCCGACCTACCTACAACACAGCCTACCAATCCAGAGGTAACCACCGATCTGATTAGCAACAGAAACGATCAGCCCTCCGACGCCAACCAGTCCCCACTCATAAGGAGGAAGAACCCTTTGTGAAGGTGTTCTTCCAAGTTTTGCAGTGCCTCCATCATTTGGCAATCCTTACCCTTCAACAGCAAGGCCAACCAGCGTTTACCTTCAAACGCAAAGTCTCTGAGTTGGATAGTTTTATCCGTCCAGCAATGAAAACATCAGATGTTGACGCGAATATTAGATCCCTCAATCGGACATGGCTCTCTAAGGTTACGCAGGTCCTGATCGACCATTACCAAAGCACACCACACTTCAAGAGAAGCTGACCACCATTCGTACCAAGTCATCATCTGCCGTCGACCGCATCGTTTCTCATGCCCTGTCCTGGGCCCGTCGCTCCTATGGGAAACGTCTCACTCAAGTTGTAATCACCAAGTTTTACCAAACAATCAACGAAACAAAAACCAGAGTAACCATATTTCTACCAACTGGTATGGACACTACACCTGCACCATCTAGAGCCACGACGCTGCCGAACCAAATCCCTAAACGAGCCCGAAGTTCACTTACTCCTAGTCCAGCAGACATAGGTAAACGCTCTCATAGAGAGCACACTCCCCTTCTCTTTTCACTTTCAGACTCGTCTTCCCCTTCCACACCATCTGAATCTTCACCACGTGATCCAGGATCCGCCAACCTTTCTTCCTTCTGTGCGTTTTTGGACCAGCAAACCACCTCTCAGTCTCCATCCAAGTCGAGACGTGTATCCAGACTTCCCCCCCCCCCTCGAACCAGATCCAGCTACCAAACCGTATTATCACCAAACCAAGGACAAATCTTTATGGAAGCTACCCGCTCTAAAGAAATCTACCTTAATTATTGGATCATCTAACCTGAATCGAATTTCCAAAACCAGTTCAGACACTGAAATACATTCTTACCCCGGTGCCCAAATCCATCACATACAGCCAATCCTGGAATCATACGACCATGATCCCAAACCTACTACCTTTATTCATCATGTAGGCCTCAACAACCGTAATCAGCTACTAAAGACCTCCTTTAACCAAGCCCAGAAATTAATCGCCACAGCCAACAAAACCTTCCCAACTCCAAGATCCTCTTCACATGTATACCCATTTCAAATAAAATCTCGAAGAAAGCAGAACCTCACCACTCTCAACAACATGCTGATGGAGTCCAGTATCAACAGCGCGACAATCTTACCACCCTACGAAGAAGAATTCGAACCAGTTGATAATCTTCATTGGTCTCAAGAAACAGCAAACAGCATTTATTTGTTTTGGATACGCCAGCTTCAAGCATCGAGTAAGTAACTAATTACTGGGGTTAAAAATACTGAGAGGCCACCGCTAGGCCAATCTGTAGTTAACTTGAGCCGCAAAATTTTCACACCCCTTCAGCATTCAATCTTAAAACCGTGGACTTAACTTTATTCCCACACCAAAGATAGCTAACTTAAATTATCTCCATTGAACGATTTCAACGAAATCTTAGCTGCACATATTTTTTTCGAAACCACCCCCACGTGGTGCTAGAGCAATGTTTATTTCTAATCCTCCATCCTGAAATATTGAAAGCATATGCGAGTATGAATAGCCAAACAGCGAACCTTCCCATAACACACGAAAAGCCTAATCTCACACGAGTGGAACGTGAAGCGTTAAACTTACTTAAGAAAGACGATAGCATTGTTATTAAAAAGAGTGACAAAGGTATATGTTGTGTCATTCTGAATAGGGAGGATTACGGTTCAGAAGCAGAGAAACAACTGAATAATCCTAAACATTATGCCATTTTACTGAAACCAATTTTCAAAGAAACTGCTAACATGATTAACAATATTCTTGCCGATTTAGTCAAAACTAGTTATCTCAAACAGAAACAATATGACTATCTGTCTGCCAAACTTGATTGTCGCGAGAGACATTTGTACACTTTGCCTAAAATCCATAAGAATCCAACCAAGGAGTGGTTTATCTCGAATAAAATCCCTAAAGGCCGCCCGATTATATCTGACTGTGGTAGGGAGTCATATGCAGTGTAAGAATACATTGATCATTTCTTACTACCTCTAGCATGTCAACATCGCGCCTACCTTAAAGACACAACCGATTTTGTCAATAAAATAAAAAATCTTCGAGTTCCCTCTAATGCTATTTTAATTTCTATCGACGTTTCTTCTATGTATACCAATATCGATAACACTACTGGTTTAACGGCAGTTCGTAAAGCTTTTAATAGAAACCCAGATCCAAACAGACCCGACGATGCAATTCTACAGCTTTTAGAGATTTGTCTTAGTCGAAACATTTCACATTTAATGGTAAAACATATTTACAAACTTCAGGGACAGCAATGGGCAAACGATTCGTCCCTTCGTACGCAAACCTTTTCATGGCAGA